ACAGACAGACAGACAGACAGACAGACAGACAGACAGACAGACAGACAGACAGACAAGAGGACACTATTGATGAAATCACTATGCAAAACAAGCTGAAAGATATCAAATCAAGTCTGGGAATGTGAATATTGCAGTAATTATATTTAATTGTTATTCTACTGCACTGTGTATAAAATGAAAAATATAGGAAAAAATTCCAAATAAAAATTCTGTAAATAAAATATGCATAGTTAACGGAATATCATACATAGTTGAGTATAATTTGCTCTTTTTCAACATCACGGGGAAAGAATTTCACACCGGAATAGAATGATCTTTCGTTGAAGTAAAAAGAAACTTACACCACTATGTCACATTTTCATAATAATATGGTGTACGTTTTCACTCCAAAAGTTGATATGAAAACGAGAGCAGCCAAAGAGAAATCGATATTTATACAGATAAAACACAATACACGCATTTTTATCCTTAAAGAAACAGTGGTATATCAAGAAAAATAATCAAGTTGTGTGCTTATATAATACTACACATAAGTTAATTGCTAAATATGTATAATATATACTGAAATGCAGTTGACGGGAAATCGTATTTGAAAAATATGAAATGTTAACAACTATTGTTTTGTTAATCGGTATACAATGAGATCTGGTCAGTTCCATTACAGAAGGGTGAGTGTTCTGCTAAACATTAGAGTGGTAATACAACTTCTACATTTCCTAATCTTTTAAGACAGTCGACACGTTAAATAAAACTAATTCTCTCTTGATATGACACCATGTCATTAGGTAATATCTTTCTTCCCCCCCCCTCTCTCTTTCTCATTCTCTCTGTCTCTCTGTCTCTGTCTCTGTCTCTCTCTCTCTCTCTCTCTCTCTCTCTCTCTCTCTCTCTCTCTCTCACACACACACACACACACACACACACACACACACACACACACACACACACACTTTCTCTTTCTCTCTCTCATACTCTCTCTCTCATACTCTCTCTCTCTCTCTCTCTCTCTCTCTCTCTCTCTCTCTCTCTCTCTCTCTCTCCCTCTCCCTCTCCCTCTCTCTCTTTCTCTCTAACAAAATATTAACTGACCCTTTTCTCCCTCTTCAGGCGTATTTCTTTGCTTGGACCCGCTCCATGTTCTACGATATCTCTTCACTGACCACGGTGCTAGCTTCTCTCGAGCGCTGTCTGTGTGTCGCCACACCTCTCAAAGTACACGTCATCTTCTCCACCCCGAGAACAAGAATGGCGCTGGTAAGCATC